TGAGAATGAATCTTGCCGCCCTCTCACAGACGATTCATTCTCATTTTGCAGTTTTGTGTCCACGCTGTGTGTGTGTGTGTGTGTGTGTGTGTGTGTGTGCGCGCGCGAGCGAGCCAGCGAGCGAGCGAGAGAGAGAGAGAGAGAGAGAGAGAGGGCAGGGCAGAAAGATCCTCTCCCAGGGCCAGGGGAAAGGCCGAGAAAAGGTTAACAGACCCCCAATTTTTCACCTCAATTTATAAGAAAACCATAAGGCCATCCCAAGCAAACTTCACACCAATCTATAGAGTGCACTTCTTACTAACATATTATAACAAAAACACCAAAAAAAAAAAAAAAACAAACACATAAAACAGCAACTCAAAAGTGCATTTTCAGGCAATTTTGCCAAAAAACAACTCCATCAAAATTTCAGGATTTTTAGGATGATTAACAGCACAAATTCTAATAACCCAAATGACACGAAATTTGACACACAGCAAGCTTGTCCTAAAACAAAAACAGGCAAAAAACAAAATTCCGAAAAAACACAAAATTTGACCCCGAAACCCTAATTTCAGGATCATTCATCGTTACCCAGGGCCGAAAAGTGGGGGTCCCCGTTAACCACTTGTGCCGAGAGTGTCAACAACAGCCACAGGGGCATGCTGGAAAGACGCTCGGTACCGGTAGGGGCGTATGGGGAATGCTTCTGCTGGTTCTCAACGGCTATTTGGTAGGGGCGTACTGGAAATTTGGGGGAGGTACCGTTAGGGGCATATGAAACATGTTTCAGGCCCAAACGACACCAGGGGTTTTCTGGAAAGATCATTCGTTGTAAGGGGAGCGCGACAGGGTAAGTTGGCCGTCAGAGGGGCATGCCGCAATTCAATCAAAATTTCAGGGGCATATCGAAAAATTTCCCTCTTTGTTTTCAATGGTCAGGACGACGGGAGTGATGACCTGTGCCAGCGTGTAGGCTGCGGGTTTTCTCTGATCGCCTGATGGAGGTGTTTGATGAGATGGATGGCATGGTGCAGCTTTGAATTGAGATTGATTAGATGTTGTGATCTTTGGCGGTGATCTTCCTGTTATCTCCATGTTTTGGCCTTTGCTGCACGGTTTGGTCTGGAAGAGGTGATGCTGCTTAATGGGGTCAGACAACAGGAATGGTGCTGTATGACAGTCTCATAGAATGGGGTGACGTGATTTGCATTGGGAAAAGAGAGCAACAGGTTATCTAAAGAAAGAAAAAACATAGACCGAGAGGAGGATGGATGGATGTGAAGGTAGTCGTCAATTGGAAGGAAACAAAGGAAAAACTTGCGTGGTTAATGCATACACGGATCAGAGTGAAGGCGTTAAACATATCTGTTTCTTTCAGAAGTTGTGACGCGATTGACAGGCTCTATTTGTCTCCCCTATTAGGTACGTACACAATGGGATTTTCTTTAGCTTTGCGGTGGATGGTGACTTCGTAATGATTCAGCAACTGAGGGAGGAGGAGCTCAAGCAGAAGCAGCAGGCCGAGCCCAATGCCGATGCAAAGGAGGTAACAGGGGATGGAGAAAAGTTGGAAGCTGAGGTGGTTTCATCAGAGGGCCCAGTAGGGGAAGGAACCTCACCAGCAGATGGATCAGCAGTGGATGCCTTACCGTCTGGCGCGAAGCAGGCTGGAAGCAACCCACTTGTGTTGGAGGGAGAGCAAGCAACTTATGCCTCTGCAAACAACGATCTGAAGGGGACACGTGCCTTCAATACAGCTGATGTGTCTGGACTCTACACACTGGCCATGGCAATTGTTGATTATCGAGGATATCGTGTAGTGGCCCAGGTATGTTTCTTGAGACAAATCTGCCTTGTTTGTCTTTCCAGATCTGGTATTGCAGAGGCAATAAAATGTCTTTTCCTGAGAGCTCTCCAACCATGATGTCAAACTCCTCAATCCTTAAGCTGTCTTTATTTAGTGACCTCCTGGGAGCACAAATAGACAGCTGCTGCCAAGGAACTGCAACGCTCGACTTCATGGAGCCCGGTTATGAGCCTTGCCAGTCTCCCTCTTGGTTCTCTCTCCAGTCATCCAAGACTGCTAGCACCAACCTTCGTTCCACCCCTACTGCATCCAAAGCATCTCCGACGCGCCACACAGGTATAATGTGTACTGATCTCCTCCCCTTGTGTGCCTGTGTGGGTGGTGTGGATCAATTGTGCTTCAGCACCAACAGAAGTGTCTCAACTCAAGGGCCTGCTGGTGTATGCTTCCGAAATGCTCAACACAGGAGAAGCTGTTTACGTAGATACTATGCCATGACTGATTGTGGCTCATTCGCACTGCGACAAGCACACTACCACCCAGGGAAAGGCCGTGCACCTGTGGCTGCTCTGGACCTGTTTTCCGAAGGCCAGCACGTGGCAGAAAACAGCGGCCCAACCGGTAGTGCCATGCCTGCGTTTAGTATGGGGTGTGGCCCAGAGTGGTATGGCCTAGGGTGGCACTTGAGACAAATCCTTCAGGTGTTTATTTTCATGTCCAGTCACATCGTACGGCCCTGCAGGTTACGGAGACGAATGACACTGGACCTCGCTCCACTAGTTTCAAATGACTCTGCATCATACTTGTGGCGCATTTGTGCGCTGCGCATGCGAGCTGCGCCTTGCGTGGATGACTGGTGCGTGCGCACCACGTGCATGGCGCATAAGTGCGCTATATGCGCATGCGCGCGCTACTCATGCGATGTGCGCTGATGCGCGTGCACCTGTGGGCCATGCTCTAGGGTGGTACGCCAGATGCGCAGCCTTTCTTTTTTTTTTCTTTTTTTTTGGGTGCTTCCACCACCCGTTTGAACTCAGACTCAGCGGAAAGGTTCCCTCTCTCTCTCTCTCTCTCTAGCAAACAATTTAAACATTATTAGAAATTTCAACAAACAAAATGGTGGTCAGCCCTCCCTCCTTGTCATCTCTCTCTCTCTCTCTCTCTCTCTCTCTCTCTCTCTC